ATTCTAAGAAAGGGTGAAATACACAGGATGTGACTCATCTTTGGTGCAACAAAGTCCTTTTGTTAAAAGCAAGATGGAAAATTACATTGCCTTGCATGATAGGTAACCCGCCCCTGGTTTCGGGGTTTCGAGCTTACAGTTGAAAGTCGAAGACAATCACGGAATTAGGTGTCGTAGATCAATTTTGACTACAGTTTTTACCACCCCCGTGACTGCTTCATTCACGGAGAAAATGTTAGTTACAAACGACAAGTCAGTACATACATCAAACGAATCGGTAATTTCCACATATTAAAATAAAATAATCAAAACGTATATGAATGTTACTTCAGGGACAAGTAAATTTCAGAAACAAAGATTGAAACGCACAAAAAATATAAAATGTGGCATACAAAACACAAATGCGATATAAAGAAATGCAAAGATTACTACCTGCATTAAATAACACAAAATAACAACGAACATTTATGGAGCGACGCGTTCACGACCGCCATTCAAGACAAGATCCCAAACGTAACCCCCGTTCGTGCTTTCTAGGTGGCGCAGGCAGCTTTTCCCCACCTAGAAATTGCATGGTTGCCAACTCTCAAAAATGTACGTATCGTTGTCAGTTGTATACACAGGGTGGCACCTTTCAATATGCATAATTTTTTAGGAGGAAGGAGGAAAGGAAAGTGGAGGAAGTGAAACGATCATGATAATATTTCCTTTCAATAGATCATGAAAAACTATGTCAGTATGCAAATTTTCATATTTCAATTATTAATGAATACTTTTAGGTAACGGTTTTCGTGAAACAGCTTGTGCATATACAATAACTCAAATGGGCTTTCGGCATTCCGCGCAGCCTCGGTTCTTTGCTATTAATGATGCTATTAACACATTAATAATAATAATAAATTAACACATTAATTAATTGAGCAGGTAAAAAAATGACAATTATGTATATATAATGTAATTAGATGTAGGTATTAAATCAGCCGAAGCCTACAGTCGGTGCGGGGTTCTTTAGCGCCACCCGAAGATTATCCACCTTGCTCCTGGTCAAGAGGTCGGCTGGACAGATAGTCAGACAAAGAAATTATTAACTGCAGCGATCGGGCGATCGGTGACTGGCGAAAAATCTAAAATGTAATTACGGCACACGAAAACGGTAGAGGTTTCTCAAGCGGGAACGGAATCATAAATTAACTAACGGTATCTACTGGGAAACGATATGCAGGAAAGCTGAACAAAACCCTCCTTATAATTAATGAAAAAAAAGTACTGTCGTCTTAACCTTTCTGTGTCGGAGTGGGGTAACTTAGTTTTCTTTCGTGACTTTAATAGCATTGTCCTTCCAGGCAATCCTTGCTCTGTCAATTTTACGTGAAATATGTGTCATTGTAAGGAAATTGGCGTTAACCCCGCCTCGCTTCCTACTTAATTTACACGCAGTCGTATATATTGTAAGTCATTCGACTGATCGAATTTTTCAACTCGAGTGCAAAGTACGCTCGTGAGTCAATTGTTCGAGAGTTGAAAAACACTTTCTTCTCAAGTTTTACACTTATTTTTTTCTGAAACTACAATCAAAATTGAACAATAATAAAGTTTTACATATAGCAATCTAGATTCGGATATATTTCAATTTTAAATGTCATTATTAAGATTAACGCAGCGATTGTTTTTTATTTTCCTCGCTAGAGAGAAAAATCGCATTTTCTTCGCCCATTTTACGGACGAAAGTAGTTTAGTTTTAGTTTATTATGACCGGAAAATATCTCACAGAAAAGGAGCTATGAGAACTCGCTGAGAACATTGTACATTCCGATAGTAATTAAGAATTAAGTAGAACCATGTTTGATCTGTAATGTAGGATTGTGACTAAACCACTTTCGGTTAACGAGTATTGACCAAAATTTTATCAGTTAGTCCCTTGACCATTGTCCACCTATTACTGAAAACAGTATTGGAAAATTCGAAACCGTTTCCAAGTAATCATGTACACATACGGACGGATGGATGGACGGACCGAAAGTATAAATGACCAAAATTTAATGAGTTACTCCCGTGAACATTGTCTACTAAACTCATTACTGGAAACTGAATTGGAAAATTCGAAACCGTTCGCGAGTTATCATGTATAAAAGCGGACATCAGAGTTATCATGTATGTACACAGATGGACGGACGGGTGGACAGAAAGTCCAAAATCATGAACCCGATTTTTGTTGCTCGTTAATAAAATGTAAACAGAAAAGCCGCTTCAGTTGTTAACAAACCAAACTTAAGCTGGAATAAATGCGTTACCCCAATCCGGTGAGTACGTGATTTTTCAGAACACCGGGCCAGGAGGGTCTGAAGCAAGAAGGCAGTATCTCCAATTTTCACAATTGATGGTTTTCCTCTTTCTATATAGGCTACTTACACTATTTTACGGTGCCTTACAAAGCTAGGAAGCCGTAACTGGAGCACTTACGACTTTATAACTTTGTGAGGTATTGTAAAATACCTAGTATATGGAACCTATACAAAGAGGGAATACTGCCTTCTTGCTTAGGACCGTACAGTATTAAACGCCTACCCTGCAATTAAACGAGGCGGTTAATCAAGAAAACTGGATAAGGGCTAAATGCACACTTTGCACACCGAAGTAATATCAAAAATGTCCCCTGTAAATCTTGTTCTTACTTTTTATAGAATTTCGCAAATTCGGAAAGCAAACCCTGGACTTCTCAAAAAGGACAATGAATAAACGGAACGGAAATCACAAAATTTTTACTATTCGTATTTACGGTGATGGCTTCTAAACAAGAAAATGTCCCTTTTAAAAACAAGGACGCCAAAAACTTGAATTCGCTACTTTTGTCTTGTCTCGTACTTTGCTACTGGAGACTCACCAACTTCTCCACAAAAAATATTTACAGGTGGCCGACTTACCTTTGCTGACTCGAGGACTCGACACGAATTCAAATAAATAAAATCCACCCCGCGACCATAAGTTCCTTCGGGGACCCAAGCCAATTCTTATACAAAATACAAAACAATACTCCACGGTTGGTTATCTGCGAGTGACCGACGACACTTGGCTGACAACTTCGCGCGAATTGTCTCTCGCGGTTAGAGAAACTCTCTAATTCAATACCAAATTTTTTAACGGCTCCCCACGAACTCTCTCGCGGCATAATCTCAACTCCGCAATCCCGCTGAACCAGTAATAATAATAATAATAATAATAATAATAACTTTATTCCCTATAAAGACAAGTCTAACACGTCACAGGATCGTCAAAATAACATCAAAGCAAAAGAAAAACATGTTTGGAAAATTAAAATGTGTCTTCAAAAAATTCAAGTAAGCTGTAGTAAGGTTTTAACATTAGTATATTCATGACCTTCTTCTTAAAAAGATTGACGTGATGGATCTTCAATGTGGCGGGTAGGTGATTATATACTTTAATCGGCATGCAACGCGTGCTGTTCGCAGTGAGAGCAAGTCTATGTTGAGGGGGTCTTACATTGTTACATCTTGTATCATATTTATGTGCTGCGTTGTTTTCAAGAATCAAATTTCTTTTGCGTTTGTGTACATATGTGGCGGCTTCTAGGATATACAGAGAGATAACAGTCAGAACGCCTAGATCGACAAACAGATCCCTGCATGAGGTACGACTTGCCACTTTGAAGATCGCTCTGATCGCACGTTTTTGGTAAAGTAGTGCCCGATTAACATGAGGACTGGGTCCCCAAATGATAATACCATAACGCAATCGGGATTCAACATCTGCAGTGTAAACAGCTTTTAGTGCCGGGATGCCAACTGCGTCTCTGAGGAATCTGAGCTTATAAATAGATTTAGAGATAGTTCGACTGATAGCTTCGATGTGCAACTTCCATTTGAGATCATGGGAGAAGGTGATGCCTAGAATTTTAATGTTCTCCTGGTATTCGATTCCTGACCCTGCAATATTCAGGGATAATTGTTGGACACTCTGATGTGACGTTGAGGAATGAAAGCGTGTATATTTCGTTTTTTCTCTATTTAAGATTAGTTGGTTTCCTGTACACCATTTGAACATGGCATTTGAGATGGTATTGGAGTCCTTTTCAATGTTGCCTTGGCTGCTGCTGACGAGGACGGTCGTGTCATCTGCATAAAGAGTGACTGCGTTGATGGGGAGGTATGTAATTAGATCGTTAATATACAACGAAAATAAGAAGGGAGATAGGATCGCTCCTTGCGGTACTCCAATTCTGATAGGTAGCTCTTTGGAGTGATAATTTACTCGTGAGTCTTTAGAGAAATGCGGTATTCGTACGAATTGAGATCTGCCAGATAAGTAGGAGGCGAACCAATAAAGCGGGATTCCTCTAATACCATACTTCTTCAGTTTTAAAGTTAGGAGATCGTGGTTAACGCAGTCGAACGCTCTGCTAAGGTCGTAAAAGATTCCTATAGGAGCTGTTTTATTTTCTAGGTCGACAACTATATTGTTGTAAAGTTCCAAGTTCGCCGTAATGGTTGACATTCCTAATCTAAACCCATGCTGTTTATCGGAGATTAATTCGTGTTTATCGAAATATGTTGATATTCGTTGTAGCATTGTAGCGTTGTAGATGTCACGGTGCGTACCGCGGCTGCAAAATAAACAAAATCTTCCTCTAATCTGAACTAAACGCGTCAATCTCACGACTCACTGGCGCCGCCAGCTTTCGCGCGCATTTAACAAAGTCAGAACCGTATTCAGGAACCACTCGCCCACAAAATCGAAAAAAAAATAAATAAAATTCGAACCGAATAAAATCGTCTTCGTGTCCGTGAAGCTAGCACATTTTACAGTTTCCCCAACGAAATTACCAGAACGAGAGCAAGATAGGAAAGGTAATGAAAACTGTGGTTAAATAATCAAAGTAGTCTTGTACATACGAATTGAATGGTAAACAGTTGTAATTAATGATAAACAGAAATGTAATTTAACATGGCAAAAAACAACAGAGACTTTTTAATATCTATCATTTATTATCTATCACTTTTATCGCAACAGATTACACAGTTTCAGGAAGAAAGGACTCCATTTAAATGTCAGTAGGATATTAGGTGGACGAACAGTTAGTGAAATATACTGAAAGGCCTCGTACTACAATAACCCATAAGCCCTCGTCAGTAATAATTGATTTTCCTGGCTCTTATGTGAATAACTATTACTGATTTAATCTTCAAATTTGCTTTGTTCACATAAATACAGTTTACTCTTTCTGGAGAAAAAAAGACGCCCTGGTATACTTTCAATCGCAGTGCAGAATACTTACTAATTATTTTTTTCCTTATGTTTCAGATGTTACGAAGTGATAACAACTAATTCACCAAATAAAGAACGATGGCAACCCTGCAGACCATTCTTCTGCTTCTGGCCGTGGTCTATTCACCAGCATCAGCTTCAGGTATAGTATTCCAAATTGAAAATTGCTTCACCTACGCGATGAAAATAGATCCGTTCCAATGGTTCGCAAAAGTTTAATAAACCCATATCCATCAATTAGTTCGAATCGTCTATACCTCTTGTACCCGTGCAGTGTTTACCTTGATTAAAGTGGAATGGCACAAAACTCGTTTCGGATACCCATGGAATTCCCCATTGAGTTCAAGATATCACACATTTCCTGTTATAGTACCGTTAAGTTGACGATATCTTTAGGGTCCTGTCGAGCTCGCTAATTTGCATTTTGCAAAGTTTATTACGTCATTACACTTTACGTTCGCATGTCAGGTTTATTATCCTGATAACCTTAACAGAGGAGTACCTATTTGTGTAATGCACTTTTATTTTATTTGTGTAATGCACTCTAATTTTATTTTCATTTGCTTCGTAGGAACGCGGAGGCTCGTTAGTCTTGTTAGGTACCTACTCAAATACGTTATCGTTAGGTATTATAGCCGTCGTAGTTCACGTTGGTTGAAGTGTTTGTTATGCGATTGCTCTATAAAATCTTTATTAGGATCTTTATTAGGATATCAGCATCTGCGTCACTCGTAAACGCCAATGGTGACCATGACGTGGCATAATTTACAATATTTCCAATCCTGTTATTTAATATGAGCCAAATAATTGAAAGAATCCTCAAACGAACCGCTAAAAACTATCATCAATTATGTAGTAAATTAAATCATATGCAGGATCATATGTTACCTTCTTCAAAATTCAAGGTACCCCAATGTACCAAAATTCCTTTCCATTGTACCTCCGCCATTTTTAGAGAATTCAATCCTGGTCAACCTCACTGGAGAACCAATCATATTTCTAATAAATCCCTAAACTATAGGAAATGCCACTGAAAGTACCTACCTACCTTAATGTACCATAATTAAGTTTCCAATTTTCCGGACATCCGCATCTCCTAAAAAAAAATCTTACAATTTCTCAATTTGAGAGACTCGGTGGCCACGAACAACTTTTGATTAACACCTTGGATCTTGGACACAAAAAGAACTGAAAGAAAGAAAAGCTTACATAGCTTGTGTGGACTACCCCGTACGCACCGAGCGGTCGATAATTAAAAATAAAAATAATCTTAAATTACTTACTTTTTTTCTTTAATAATCCAAATGATCTGGGGCCTATTTCATAAAGCTACTTTGCTACTTTTCACTGACAGAACAATATGGAACATTAAATCGGTACGAATTACTCCATCAATATCATAAGTGGTACCGTGTTCTAACCAACGTACCTATTCTCGCTCCTGTAACTTTGACCAAACCGTGTGTAAAAAAAATTACATGCTCGAGAGCTACTGCGAAATGATATAAAAATATTCACTGTTATATCACTTCCGGTTTGGCTATCCGAATGTGACCCTAAATTTCAAAATTTAAATCTACACCCTCTATATGGTTACATTTTTGGATTCTATAGACCGTTTTACACCGCGTTGTTTTCGGAAATATATACGAGATGAGTCGAATAGTCAAATTTTATTTTTTAATACAAGTCGCTATGAATGGACCAAAATCGTTCTTCATTGGCTCTAAATTACTACAAAAATCAATTTTGCGTATCTAATTTATCCAATAACAGGGATTAAAAAAATTTTGAGATTATCAAAATTAGTTTAATACCGTTAAGTAAATTTTTTCACATAGGACTACAGATGCCCACCCGGCTATAATGAAACGGCATTGTAACGGGAACCCGCTAACATATTTAATTTTTTTTCGATTTTAGCACACTTAGTGTAGGCGAATTTATCAAATTTATGGTTTGGAATTGAATTTCGTTGAGGTAACACAGTTTTAGATTATGAATACCTATTATGAAGTCTACAGGATGGTTTCATTAGAGGGTTTGTACAAAATGTTGTAATTTTTTTAAATTTTAAGATCAATAGATTCCCAATGAATTTGGCGCTCTATATTTTTCATTTCATATTTACCGGAAGCGTCACTGGTCGGTTAGTCGCATACGAAAATTACTGGTGACTGTCTTGCGCTTGATTTAGTGAGTTTTACCAAAGAGTAACCATAATTGTACTCTTTGGTTTTACGTAACCAAAACAGCGGAATCAGATTGCTAATAATGATGCCACGACGCAGCGTGAGAAACGCGAAATCTGTGGATTTCTAATGAATGGCCTTTACATGCACTTGATTGATTTAAGGGAAGGAAGTCTATTGTCTGTCGATTTAAAAATTGTCACTGTTACAGTGGCGATAATAGGCCCACCCAGCCTAGTCGCCATGTTCCATCGAAAATTAAAACTAGCCATCATCAAATACCAACGCAATTGCAGTGTAGGCAACACACAATACAAAATTACCATAAACATGTAACAGAAACTCGATGCAACATGGCCGCCGATCTCAACAACTAATCAAATATTAGACACTATTGTGGTCAATGTCTCGTATAAACTGATTCAGAAGGGGTTATCGTAAAATAAATATCTGTCGGAAAATGCAGTACTGAATGGTGACATAGGATGACCATCGATTCCAGAGAACGCTCCACTGTGTATGGAATCCAAATATGTAAAAATATATAAGGTGTACAACCATTTCAATTTTTAATTTTTTGGTTAAACTGAAGGTGTTAGGAAAGCACTATTTGATTATTTATCCATAATAATTGTGATCCACCAAAAGAGAGAAAGTACAGGGTGTTACATTTTCGTCACTTTTATAGGATTAGTGTTGTCACAAAAAGTAATAAGGACGCCATGCCCTATTTTGGAATCAAATTTAAAATGGTACAATAAAGAACTGAAAATATTGTTGTTTCTTTATAATGATTGTAGAATAATCTGTTGTTTTCAGAATAAGCATACGCGTTCAGGTAAAAAAGTTATCGGATCTAACTTGACTTTTTAAATAGAACGCCTTATATATTTTTTATCTAAAAAGATAGCATATTATAATAAATTATCTTTCTAAAAATATAACACATTTAAAAAACGTTCAAAAGGATTTTACAATAATTAAAAAAAATTCTAAAATTGAAGAAAATAAAAAAACGCTCAAATGATTCAAAAAACAAAAGATTTTTGATTTTTTAAAATCTTTTTTGAACCAAATTTTTTAGATTTTTGAGTGTTATATTTTGAAAAGAAAATTCAATATGCTATCTCATTAGATTAAAATATACGGGGTGGTCCGTTTAAAAAAATTAAGTTAGCGTCCATAACTTTTTTACCTGACCCCGTGTACTTATTTTGAAAACGGCAAGTCATTCAACAATGTTTTGTAATAAATATTTTTCTGTTGTCTTTTAAGTAATATAGGGTCATTCTGAAATGCCAATTTTTAGTGCATTTTTTAAGAATTAAAATTAATTGTATTCTAATTAAACGTCTCAACGAAAGGAACCGTTTTCTACCAACTACTGCCCTTCTTTTTGTCCTCTTATCAAAGTACGGGGTGGAGGGGGAAGGGAGGGGGAGTGGAACTTGTTTTATCCTTCATGGTACTCTAATGAAAGGTCCCAACGAAAGGAATTAATTGATGCTAACCATAGTCTTCCTCCTCGATCCCATGGCGTGATCCGTTATAATTCCTTATATCTTAAGAGTGAATTGTCAAAGGAAAGTACCTATAAAGGGCGATTTGGACGTTTGGAAGAAATAAAACCATTGGGCATTTAAGTAAAATTTGATACATATCCACTTGCAATAAAACCAAATTTAACGCCATTTCGTTTTGCGCATGCGCAGTGCCAACTTTCTTATTTATGGAGACATTTACCTAAATAAAATTTGATACATAGCCACTTCGAATAAAAGTAAAAAATATAACGCAAGTTTCAAAATTTGGTTTTGCGCATACGCAGTCCCGATTTCTTATTTATGGAGGGATGGCAACAGAAGTACCTGGACTTTGGATGGCAAAGTGTATGCGGTCAAGAATGGAAGAAAAATCATTTTAACATCGGTATCAGATGTCAAAAGGTATCAGTAATTTGTGTGTGATGTGTCAGTTTTTCGATGTTACTGCTGATGCCCGTAAAAGGAATGAAGAATACCATCTTTGGGACACAATTTATTGTATTATTTTTTTCACCTACGAGAGGCGGTTTGCTTCACATTGTCTGCTGTTTTTTGTGTGGTTTAAAAATTTTTGTTTTGTTTTTAGGACATTAATTTCCTTTTTTGCTTTTCTTATTACTCACTGATTCTTGTGAATTATATTCTATTAGTTCATTTATTTTGTAGTAATTGCTTGATAACTTGATTAAACAATTATGCACCATTTAAAAATAGGACATTTAAATGTGCGATCATTAGTGGCACACCTAAACGAATTGAAAATATTTTTGTATGATAACGACTTTGATATCTTGGCCGTGACGGAAACATGGTTAAATGATTCAATTTCAACGTCGTTCGTAAACATTCAAGGCTATAAATTTGCTCGAGTCGATAGAGGAACTCGTGGAGGAGGAGTTGGAATTTACGCTAAAACCTCAATCAATTTTCGTGTTGTAGATACTTCTCATGAAATTGAGCAATTGTGGATTAAGGTAAAAATTGGAAGCACAACGCAAGCCATTTCAGTTGTATATAGGCCACCCGATTTGTACTTTCGTAAATTTTTTGAAGCCTTTGAAGAATCTTTTAAGGACATTTTTATTGACGTAGATAACGTCATATGCGTAGGCGATTTTAATTCGGACATCAAACAAGTAAACAGACCGGACATAAAATACATACTAGACCTGTTTGATACTCTCAATTTAAGTCAAATAATCACAGAAGCCACTAGAATTACTCCTAAATCTGCATCCATTATTGATTATATTTTGATTTCCAAACTTGAGATGATTGTTGAAGCAGGGACCCTTTCTGTTCCTCAAATTAGTGACCATGAAGCAATTTTTTGCTCGATTAAAGACCCCACTACCTCCCAAGCAATGTTTAAAACAATTAGAAATTTTAAAAACTTTAATTACGTTGCATTTAAAAGTCATCTGGAGGCAATCCCCTGGAGAGTTATATACGATATGTAGGACATCGACAGTAAGGTAGGTTTTCTAAATGAGAACATTCTCTTTCTGTTAGATTTATTTGCACCATACAAAACTTACCGTTTTACTAAGAATTATGCTCCTTGGCTAAATCCAAATTTACGCGAAATGATCAAAATTAGAAACACTCTTTTAAGCAAATTCAAACTATCACGTAATCCTCTGGACTGGAATGCCTATAAGACAATGCGTAATCGAATTACAGTTATGGTTAAAACTGAAAAAAAGGAATTCTTTTCAAATACAATTAGTAGCTCGAACGCCAAGCAAATGTGGGCCACTTTACGTGAGTTAAATATAGGAAAAACCAAAGACCATCAGCTCCCAACGAACCTAAGGAATGTGAATGATATTAATTCCCATTTTATAAATTCGATCCCTCGCAGCGATATCAATGATAGCATACTTAATTTTTATGTTTCAAATCTAAAGGATTCCATTACTAGCACCTTTAAATTCAGTTCGGTAGATGAATTCAGTGTTTTCCATTTTTCTAAAAATCAAATCGAAAGCAGTAGGACATGATGGCGTAGGTATTAGGGCATTACGTTTATGTATTCCGTTTATCATTCCATTTGTTACTCATATAATAAATGAATGCTTAAAATGCTCGGTATTTCCAGCCGCTTGGAAAATCGCGTATGTAAGACCGTTACCAAAAAAAAGGGAACCACAAAGCCTTAACGATTTAAGACCCATTTGCGTTCTTCCTACCCTGTCTAAAGTTTTAGAAAAAGTAATGGAACAACAACTTAGAGATTTTTTCCATTTCCAACAATTGCTTCCTTCTCTTCAGTCTGGTTTTAGGCAGGGTTACAGTTCCAGTTCAGCCCTACTTAGTGTTACTGATGATATTATATGCGCCAGCGATCAGGGGAAGTTAACTTATTTAGTTCTGTTAGACTATTCAAAG